AGTTCCAACTTTGCAAGGACAGTCTGGCGCTTCTGACTCACAGCCTGTAAGTACGTTTTAAAGAATTTGCCACTGACGATTTAAACCTGAGTTTTAAGCAGTGTAGAGTAGCGCTTGTTGGTGTTGTTGTCTCATCGCGCCGGGACACGGCATCACAGTATGGTAAGTAAAGGGCGTAACATTTCCGTCACACGCTTGAGATATTCAGCCAATCACAACGCACTAGATAGCTGGCCAATCAGAGCACACCTCGCTTTTCAGAATGATGAGCTTTGTAAAAATCGACGCGTTTCAGAAAGGCAAATTCATAGAGGAGCAACAATAATGTACATTATGTGGAAAATAATGTGTTTTTTGAACCTTAAACCGCATAAACACATTGCATTACACCAAATACACAACATAATGTTCTTCACAATAGGCCTGTTCACACCAAGGACGATAACTATAAAGATAATGATAAAAATATAGTTCTAAAAATTGTTCTTAGGATTAAAGAATAGCAGAGTCCACAGCACAGCTATAATGATAAAGACGCAGAGAAACGATATCGTTAGAATCACTTTCAGAACGATTATTTCCAACTGACACCCAATCAGAATCAATCCTGCTATAATGAGCTCGAGAATTTAAAGCAGCAGACGAGTGTGCACTTAGAACAAACAGACAATATCGTCCGCTGGTGTGGACGCTAATATAGTTATCTTTATAGTTACCGTTCTTGGTGTGAACAGGCCTTTACAGTCATTTTAGAGTTTGTTGTTTCATTGCCATGGCAACAAGGCTGTAAAGTTGGATATAATGCTATACAGTTAGTAAGTTTTTTTCTTAAATACATGTTTTCTGTCAAAATAAATAAATTCACAATAAATTTTGTGGTAGTCAACATTGTGCATCAAATGCTATCAAATGAGTTTGTCTTACTGATCCCAGACCATTCATTCAGAGTGTTAATTTCACGCATATACACGTCAAAGCTGTCACTTTTGCACAATCTTTAATAAAAGCATACATGGACACATGAAGTATGTCCGTAGGTGCCGAACAGAGCCCTAGGATGTGTGTATCTCAGTCTTTTTCAAATGATTCCTGGAGTTAATGCCACAGAGCCGTATTGTTGAGTCATGTCCCTTTGGTCACATGTTTGTCAGAGGGCTAAAGGAGGAAACTTAATCGAGGGGGGAGGGACAGCTCTCAGTGGGTGCCTCAAGGTTGGAAGTGAAAAGCATGTGTGTGTGACAGATAGAGAGAGAGACTGAGACAGAGAGAGGTTAGGGTAAAAGGGTAGTGCGCTTCAACTTCCAGAACAGCTTTTCTGTTCTCCAATCACTGCCTTTTTTCACCTCCTGTCCCTCCTCCCTCTCTGTGTCTCTTTCTTTTTCTGCCTTTCGGTGGCTGTTTGGCTTCAGTGGGTCTTTGCCATCACACTACAATGACTGCTGTAGCTGTAGCCTCCCTGCAGTGAGCATTCTGAGGTAAGTCTCTCTCCCTCTGTTTCTCTGTTAGAAGCAAAGCATGTGCTTTTATTCTCTGTAACAAGGTCTAGTTAAAGGGACAGTTCACCCAAAATTGGAAATTCTGTCATCATTTACTCACCCTCATGTCATTCCAAACTTGTATGGCTTAGTTTCTTGTGTGGAACACGAAAGATAATTTTTTTAAGGAATTATGGTAACTGAACCATTTTGGTGATCTCTGACTTATATGGTATGAACTAAAAACACATCCGTTCTTGAAATATAGGTTTCAGAGAAAAAAAGTTAGTTTTAGGTTTGATATCTTTGGTTTTCTGGTGCTTGTTATATAGGAAGGGTATGTTCATAATTTTGTGGTAGAAAAACAGTTGGAGTTGTATTTTGCTGAAAATGTAACTGCAGCCCTTCCTGTCTTATGAAGTGTTTCCTGTTGGAATTCTTCAGTTTTATACACACTATCAGGGAGAGAGGAATTATATGCTTAGAAATATGCTTGAACGAATCGTAATCATGTTTTTTGCTCGTTCTTTGTTGTCACTGGACTGTGATTGTCAGGAATGTGGTTCTTTCTCTCTTTCATCCTTTGTATATCCAGCCCAGTGATGATGAGGGGTCTAGAGTTACGCTTGATATCAGAGTAACAATGACTTTGGCCCAGATTAAGAGCATTGGATGACTCAGTGATTCTTCTAATGGACTGGAATACTGAAGGTTTTACTCATTTTCTAACAAACTTGTTCTATTTAGAGTTCCTATAGTTCAAACAGTAGAGCATGGTGCTAGGAACCGTCAAGATTGTTGGTTTGATTCCTAGGGAATGCATGGACTGATAAAATATATAGTTCTAGTAACTTGAATGCATTGCAAGTCACTTTACCAGATGCATAAATATGCATAAAAATTGACATTTATCTAAATTTAGCACTAAATACAAAGCAATACAATGTTGAGTTGCATGTTTATCGACATGGCTCTGACATTTTTTTTTTCTATTTCTGACCATCTACTGTCACCAGACAGGCAAATAGCACTGATAACATAGCAACAGCCAATGTGCTGTGATTGCATGCTGTAAAGAAACGGAAATATTGCATGTTTTTTGTTAGAAACTATTATTTATATCACATGGTTCTGAATTTAGTGTTCACATGGCAGCAGCAAAGCATAAGGCTCACAGTGTGGATGCTCATAGCCTCTGGGGAACATCTCTGCTGAATCACTGTCCTCAGTCACCTTTAGTGTACAGACACACAGTGGGACCCAAAAGTCTGAGGATGCACTGAAAATCTGAAATCTGAAATAAAAATAAAGTTTCAAGAGTTTGACAAACATACAGGTGCATCTCAAAAAATTGAGTATCGTTAAAAAGTTACTTTTTGTAACATTTCAAAAAGTGAAACTTTCATATATTCTAGATTCATTACATGTAAATTAAAACATTTCAAAATTTTTTTTGTTTTAATTTTGATGATTAGAGCTTACAGCTCATGAAAGTAAAAAATCCAGTATCTCAAAATATTAGAATATTTAGGCTACATTTGAGTTTCATTAAATGACCATCCCTACAGTATAAATTCCGAGTATCTCTTGTTCTTTGAAACCACAATAATGGGGACGACTGCTGACTTGGCAATGGTCCAGAAGACAATCATAGACACCCTCCACAAAGAGGGTAAGTCACAGAAGGTCATTACTGAAAGGGGTGGCTGTTCACAGAGTGCTGTATCAAAGCATATTAAATTCAAAGTTGACTGGAAGGAAGAAATTGGGTAGGAAAAGGTGCACAAGCAACAGGGATGACCGCAAGCTTGAGAATACTGTACAGCAAAGCCGATTCAAACACTTGGGAGAGCTTCACAAGGAGTCACCACGCTTAGACGTCTTCAGGAAAACAGCTACAAAGCCACTTCTGAAACAGAAACAACGTCAGTTTTATGGAGATGCTGATTTCCTTTTCCAGCAGGACTTAGCACCTGCCCACAGTGCCAAAACCACTTCCAAGTGATATGCTGACCATGATATTTCTGTGCTTGATTGGCCAGCCAACATGCCTGACCTGAACCCCGTAAAGAAGCTATGGGATATTTTCAAGAGAAAGATGAGAAACAGTCGATTCAACAATACAGATGTGCTGAAGGCCACTATTAAAGAAACCTGGGCTTCAGTAGTGCCTCAGCAGTGCCACAGGCTGATCGCTTCCATGCCACACCTCACTGATGCTGTCATTTGTGCTTAAGGAGCCCCGACCAAGTATTGAGTGCATAAATGAACTTTTTTTTTTAAAGAACTTGAGCTTTTCTGTTTTGCAAATCCTTTTTTTTTTTTTGATTGATCTTAGGAAATATTCTAATATTTTGAGATACTGGATTTTTGACTTTCATGAGCTGTAAGCTCTAATGATCAAAATTAAAACAAAAAAACGTTTGAAATGTTTTACTTTACATGTAATGAATCTAGAATATCTGAAAGTTTCACTTTTTGAAATAAGTAAAAAAAAAAAGTTTTTTCACGATATTCAAATTTTTTGAGATGCACCTGTAAAACAAATAGATTAGTTTGAAATATATTATGAGGAAACTTTTAAATCTCCAAATAAAGCAAATGTTTTCTGATTTTGAATTTATAATAATAAAAAAAAAATGTTTAAAGCAAAGAAATGTGAAATATTTAAGATTGTACAAATATATGACACTGGCCGTGTGAACCCCTTTGTATAAAAGTTCAGATTTACATCCATTAAAGTGCAAGATGCTCTTTGGATCCTTCTCAAATCATGCTGGACAACATGATCATCAAATCTGACACAAACATGTGAAGACAATGCAGCTTGAGTGCTGCTGCCATTAAATCAGGGGTGTCCAGTCCTGTTCCTGGAGTTCAGCTCCAACCCCAATTAAACGAACCTGAACCCAAGTAATCAAGGGCTTCAGGATTACTAGAATCTTCACAAGTTGGGACAAGTTGGAGCTAAACACTGCAGGAATTTGGTTCTCCAGGACCAGGATTGGATTCCCCTGGATCAAAGCAAAAGGCCTTGTAACAAAAGGTACATCAAAAGCATTCACAGTAAAAGTTTAACATATGAAGTGTAAGTTTGATAATAGAGAACCTTCACCAAATTGGGGTCATATCATCAACCCGTGGCTCTGAACACATCACAGTTTAGCATAACACAGTATCACAGTTTAACATAACTTTGTAAAACAACTTCTTGTTAAAGTTTTGAAGACCTTTTAGGTCCTAATAAGAAAGGCAACAGTGCACAAGAACTCCAGCCATTATAACTACTCAGCCTTGAAAAGAGTGTTCTCTGTTTAGGCAAGTGCATGCTTCACCAACGTCACACACATTACTTAACCTTTGAATGGAGGGTGCTACAGGAAACTGCAAGAAAGTGTCAGGGGAAATAGAGAAGCTGAGTGAGCAGGCACACTTAGACTGCAATGGCAACTGTTTTAGTGTTCTCATATTTGGGCATTCACAGGTATGAATTATTATTTTTTCAAGATGTTTGTATTCTCATGTCATGCTCTTTTCCATTTTCCTTTTTTCAATTGCCATGTGGTTTTGCGATTCCTCATTGTTAACTTGTCCTTGTATAATATTATGAACAACTGATGCTTTTTCCTTTAAAAATTGTTTACTGGTGGCCTATAGGAAGAAATGAATACTGTGACCTTTCACATACTGATATGACACCTACATCTCTATCGATTTGAATAAGGATGTGGCTTCTAATTTTGGTATTTTCCATTGAGAAATGTTACAGAATTTCCTGTGCCATGCCCAATTTATACGAGATGCTGTTACTGTGATATTGTATATGAGCTTTGACCTTGTTGTTGACTGATGCTCAGAGAGATTTAGTGTCTGAATGTCTCTCTAATGCAGCATACAAACATCAAGTTGAAGATAAAATGTAGCATTGAAAAGCACATCTTTCAGCCCCCAGTCTCCTTGGTTTTACAAGGACATGAAAAAAGCCTCTTAGGGAAATGTGATTTATTTTTCTCTTCAGAATTTATTTTTAAACTTGAAAATGTGCATATATGTGATGTTGCAATCGTTTTTATGAGTACAAGTTATTTGGTCATTTTCTCTCATAATAATCAAGTGAAATGACATGGAAGAAAAATTGTTCCATCTATTGGGTCCTTGAAAGACTTCCAGCAATATATATTTACTGCTATTCACAGAATGTATCATTTATGTTACTATTTAACTATATGGATCTTTACTTAGGGCTTTAAAGACATTAATGGAAAGGCTTCAAATGGTCATTAAAGTCTCTTTAAAGTCGAGAGCTTTCTCAGTGCTGCATTTCTCAAAAAACTACAAAAAAAAAAACAGAAGCTCAGTGAGGAAAAAATAAAGGTTGTCTCTAAAATATTGTAAATTGATCTGTCGGAGAACTTTTAACCAAGCAGATGTTTTCTTTTTCCATGTGTCACCTCAGGTTATGCTGCCCGAAAGTTCCCAGTTGAGTCTGAGTGAAAGAGAAAAGGGCTAAAGCCAGCGCACTTTACAGCACTACACACAAACCTGACCATAAGCAATGAGTGACCCTCAGGATGCCAGTGACGTCACTTCAGCCGCAGGCTTGACGAAGCATTTGGTAAGTAATCTTTAACTTTAAAATTTTTTAGGCTATGAAGATGATTAAGCTGGAATATGTTTTGCCTATACAGTACATCTAAGGTTAGTTTCATCAGTATTCATCCACTGCTTTTCTATTAAACACAAAATATTAGTAAAGTGATTGAGACAGTGACCCTGTTTACTTTTTTAACACAATATACGTGTTGCAAATTATACAGGGCAGTGTTCTGTACTGATTCAAACAGTTTTTATTTGTATTTTTTAGTAATTTATTAAAGAACCAGAACATATGAGTCATTCTGTTTGAGAATTGGACTACACTGGTTGCGCTATGTGATTATTTAAAAAGAATCGGTTCATAAGAGTCATTTGTTTGTGAATCAAACTACATTGGTCTGTTGTATGTCAATACAACTCAATGTAAAGACGTTTTGTAGTTGTGAGGTTTTGTATATCGTGGTATATTTGGTAGTACATATTCACGCATCCGCTGAAAATACAGTTGATATCAGGAGAGTTCAAATGTAGATTGCAGAAAATTGGCTCTCTGATGTTGTGCAGCTTAGTGTTTTCTTTGGCACACAGAGGAACTAGTGGCATAAATAGCTGCCAAAGTGTTATCTAAGGTTAGGGGTACAGGTTTGGTTTATTTTCAGCAGTGGGTGATTGTTGTGTGCGTTTGTGTGGTATATGTGTTTAGGAACATCATTAAGTTCTGCTCTGCTCTCTATTGCCATTGATCTAGAGGTCTGATTCACCGGAATAAGATTTAAAAACAATTTGTGTAACCATGGGGACAGAGCCACCTAATGCGCCATACCCAGAAATCAGTTTACTTCTGAGGAACATGTTGTGCCATTATACAGCAGTGATAAAGACGTGCTGTGCAAATTGTGTCTGGTTTTTAAATATGTCCCTGGAAAACTGTAGTGTTTCAATTAGCCTTCATCTGGGTGGTTTTCTGCTCCTCAAAGAGCCATGCATGGCTTGATGGACGTGCTTCTTACACTCATGAATGGAACAGAGGCTCTCAGCGGTAACAATCAAGAAATCAAACCTCCTGCCAACAAAGCTTGTATTGATAAAAGCTCTTATTGATGATTCTGCAGTGTGAATAACATTGTTACATAATAGAACCTTAAGTAATCATTTGAACATTAGATGATTGTTAAGCATCTAGTTATGGCACCAGACACAGTAGGTATAACTTTAAATGTCTTTCAACTTAAACAAGTCACACATTGTCTTGTTTTTCGGTAAAAATAGCTAAACATCAACTTTTTTCTTTTCAAAGGAATAGTTCACCCAAAAATTACAATTTTGTTATAATTTACTTACCCTCACGTTATTCCAAACCTGTGTGAGGTTCTTTCCTATGTTGAACATAAAAGAAAATATTTTAAAGAATGCTGGTAATCAAACAGTTGATGGTTCCCATTGACTTCCATAATATTTATTTCCCTACTATGGAAGTCAATGGGGACCAACAACTGTTTGGTTTCTCAAAATTCTTCAAAATATCTTCTTTTGTGCTCAACATAAGAAAGAATCTCATACAGGTTTGGAACGACATGAGGGTGAGTAAATGATGACTAAATTTTCATTTTTGGGTAAACTATTCCTTTAAGCATAAACCTAGTTTGTTTTTTTTAAATAATATTTTTAATAAAAAACATTTATTGAAAAAAACTATTATTTAATTTCAAGTATATACATGAGTACATAAAGTATAGAAATCATGTTTAATCATTAATAAGTGAAGTATAGTCAATAAAATGTATTAAATAAAAAAAAAAAAATAATCAAAATGTATTAAAATTAATTAAAGAAATATTTGCCAGTGTGGTAATTCAGGTTATATTTTGTAAAACAAACAAACAACGAAAAACAGGTCTTAATATCTTATGCATGTAATAAGGTCTTGTTTTTAAGGATGTTTAGATATTTTTAAATGTAAAACAAGACAAAATTACTAATTAAAGCAGTCACATTCTGTTAGTGAAGAAACACCCTGTATGTTTAGGTATGATATCAGTTTATTATATCATATCATACATAAAGTGGACATTGTCACAGGAAATGTCTCTTGTAATAAATATTACTTCAGAGCAGGTGGAACAAACAGAACATCCTGAAGCATAATTTTAATACCTGATTACATGATGGTGTTTTAAATATGAGATTATGCAGAAGATCTGGGGGGTTTTGTGATGAGATAAAATAGCTAAATAAGGTCATCAGCGGGTTCACTGTGAAGTAATTTTCTGTCTGGTAAAACGATTGTGTAATTCTGCAGGATCTCTGCTCATTCAGTCTGAGCATTGTTCCCCATATTAAAATCATTCTCAGATCTCACAGAGGCAATGACACTTCTGTGGGAAAGTGTAAGTTAATATGAGTCGCTCACTGTGTGGATGGAGGGAGGAAGGTGAGGTGACAGGAGCATCACATTTCATCCTTTGAAAAAAACTAAAAAAACTTTAATCCCTGTGTAGAGGATTCAGTATTCAGGAACACAAAGCTTTGAGTTATATCAGAAATATTTGAGCCAGGTGTAGATAATGGAGGCAAATCAGAGACAGATGGATTTGAGGAGGTGGAATGTGAGTGAGTGAGTGAGTGTGTGTGTGTGTGTGTGTGTGTGTGTGTGTTTATAGGGGCCTCATGCACCTGGGGGCACCAATAACAGTCCCGACTTGGTGCCCTTGATGGGATAAGAATTATGTCTACAATATCCTAACTAGGTTGTTGCAACAAGCAGTTGTCTGTCATAAAGCGTGTGATGCGACACAATAAAAACAGCCAATCAGAAAAGTTGCCATCTGTTTGGTCCCTCTTGTACATTTGGATCACAACTTAAAAACAGAGCTTAAAAATAAGTAACGCAAGTTGCTTTTTTTTTTTTTTTCAATTTATTGATTGACAGCTCTCCTGTACCCATGTTGAGAGAAATCAGATGTTACTGTAGTTCTAAAATAAATATGAATATGCATTAATTCATCTCGCTCACAAAAAACAACAAAAAAAACACACAGATTCAGTATTCCTCAAAATGAATAAAAATAATGCAACTCAGAATATGACGCAAAACTGCAGTAATTAAATGTTAAACAACACAAATATCCTTTATGTATTTAATCCCATTCTATTAACCAATGTCTTTGCTTCTGACCTTCGATGATCCAGTTCAACCATACCAATAAGCAAAAATTACTCTAGACAAACATTTGTGTGTCTTTTTTTATTGCTGAAGTGTGTTGAAATTTCTTCTTCTGCATTCTACTGTATGGACGTAAATTTACTTTCCCTTCAGCCTGAGGCTTATTCATTTCACTTTTGGTGTGAAAAGGCTTTTATATTTGCCAAAAATAGAACTTTTTATTTTTTAAAACAAACAAGAAAGCCCTGTCCAGATTTAAAAAGTAACGCAAAAGTAATGTAACGCATTACTTTCCATAAAAAGTATCTAAGTAACGTAATTAGTTACTTTTTTATGGAGTAACGCAATATTGTAATGCATTACTTTTAAAAGCAACTTTCCCCAACACTGTTAAGAAGTGAAAGTTCTGTAAATAGGAAGATGACTATGCGTGTAAGGGATCAGGATGTGACTATAGATATGGCCGATGATGTCAGAGGCTGGGGGTGTAGATAAGTGTCTGATTAGATCCTGCTGCAAAAGATCGGCTCACACATCCTCTGCTTCCTTTTCTTGAGGGCTGCAGTCAGAAGACCTTTCAGTGTCTTGATTGTCTCAACGGTTGACAAGAGCAGCTGGTCACTACTGCACATTAGGTTTTTTGGTCCACCTTATTGGCAGTTTGGTATGTGTGTATCATACCAGGCTTCTTAACAATCCTAAGCAGTGAGACATCCATGGTCCAACAGCTTCACAAGGCTCCTTGACGCATTCAGCCTCACTGGCTGACTTTAGTCATGATCTACTGGAGCGACTCTGTGAGTGGCTGTAGGAGTGCTGACTCACTCTCTGTGGCTCTGGTGGGATGAGCTACAGGATGCTGCGTCTTGATTGAGCGTGTGCGTGCCAGAGTTTGGTATCTGTGGGCATGTTAGTTTTACCTGGAGCAGGGCCCCTCTGTCAAAACACAGAATTAAATGAAGCACATGACCACAAGCCTCAGTTTATCCTCAGGACAGCATACCACAGACAGCGGGGGAGAAGAGACGGAATGAGAAAATGAGTGTAGAGAGAGAGATACCATCCATAAATATATACAGATATGTCATTCATTTACTATGAAGGAGGTCAACAATGTAATACCTAGAGCATTCACAATCATTCCATTGAGAGTTGACTCCTGGAAGTTTGTGATTTGAAATCTGCTATGAGCAGCATAAGCATTAAATTCTGCGTCCAAATGTTATTTTAGCCAATCAGCTGAGCTGTAAATGCCAGGTGATTGATTAATCAGCTGATGCAGGAAAATGGCATGACAGCGCTGATTGGGTGAAGGCAAACTGTAAAATATAAAAGTACATTTAATTTTTTTATAAGATGTATTTTGTCATAATGCACAGCTAATTTTGAATGACTGTCATTGGAGAAAGAGGCTTTTTTTGAGTCAGATGGAGTAGTTCCAGCATATACCAGCAGGGGCTAACCAGGAAAAACAACCTTTTTTTTTCTTTTTTTTTTTACTGTTTTTCATTGTGCCTTTGCATGCATGATTACAGTATTTATAAGTATGGAACAAGTAGCTTGAATTATCTTTCAGTGAAAAAGGCAATTTTATTGTGGGAGATTTCATGTATTAGATTTATTTATATAAGATTTATACAAAAATCATCTTATTTATATATTCTTTTCTCCTTATTTGTGTTTAATTAATTTTAAATAAATGTTAAATCACTTTTTATAATTTTTCTTATGCATCTGTTACGGATATTTTATGATCATTTTCAAATAAAAAAAATGTTTATGTTATGAATTAGCATAGTGTATAAACTGTGCTATATAAATTAATTCACCTTGTCTATGATGTACAAATAAGAACCTGAGATTGCATGTCTGAATGACTCTCTTTCTTGCATAACATCTGCTTTGATATCTACGTAGGCTATTTGAAAAGAAATGAAAGTTAATATAATATTTTTCTCTCTGGTTACATGTAGCCTGTTGCAGTGCATTCTCCGCCCCAGCGATGTGATGATGATGATGAAGGGGACTTGAACAAGACACTGGGAGTGCAGCGTTTCCAGCAGATCCTCACACCCCCCCAGCGCGTGCCCATCGAACAACACCGCACCTTTAATGAGGAGGACTTTGAGTGTGAGAGCTTTACTACTGATGCATTTGGTCTATAGCCTTAAAAACATTCTTCATATTATAAATGACTAAATTAAATGAGAATGCATATTAATTTGACTGTTTTATTGATATTTATAGTGTTTTATGGTGTTTTTTTCTAAAATTTTTCTCAAAATTATATTAATATTAAGAAAACAACAAAAGTGAAAAGTCTGTCATTGTTTACTCTTCCTCATATCATTCCAAATCTCTATGCCTTTCTTCCATGGTTTGCAAAAATTAAATCAGTAAATGCTCAATGAATCATAAATGGCTCAATGGATAGTTAGTGAGACTACGAAGCCCTTAAGGGGAAATTAAATTATATTTCAATGCATTTGCGTTTTCCTGCAAAAGTATTTTGTTCTCCTGAGAAACTTTGTGTTTGTTTGCAATATAGAGCACTGGTTTTCCTTCTCAGTCAAGAGTGCAAGCACACTTTCAAGGGCATGCTAGAAGACATGCTTAAAAGGAATCTGGCCAATGGCCATTTGTGATTGCAGTTGCACATTGTAATACACATTTTCATAGAAAACATATTCAGGTATGTCACTGTGGTGCAGTGAATAATTCATAGGAGTGCTGTCAGTTCAGATTTTTATGTCCACAGAGTGTGGCTTTATAACCAAGTGAAAACATGGACATTTTAAATTTTGTACTTGAGGTTATTGTATTGTTACCACCCAACCAATCAATACAGCAAATATTACAAAGAAATGTACAACTCTCATTAGAAGGGTTTTACTCCCGTGGCTCTTTTCTAATCAGTGAAATACAAAGTTCTGGCATGAAACTCTAGATGACGCAGTCCGATAAATCTAACTCATAATGACATCATCATCATAGCAAGTCTCGGTACTTGCTCTGCCGCAGTAGCAGCAGCGTAGCAGATCTATTCCGCTAAGACCAAACACATTAACATTGTCATGCACATTACCATGCAAATCACTCCGAGAGTTGTCATGACAGAAATATAGTTTTCCCTCCCACCTCATATTATTTCTATCTCAAAAGTTTTGTAAGAGAATGCAAAGTTTCTCAGGGGAACACAAACACATTGAAATATGATTTTTTTTTGTCCTATCTATTTTTTTTTTTACCATTTCCCTTAAGGGGCTCTGTAGTGATGCTCTTCTAAGTCTTTGATGTTTTTGGCATTTGTAGATCACCGTCACACCTCTCTACACATTCACCACCCTCTGTCTAAACACCTCCCAGAGGGCCGGAGGAAAAAGCCCGGAAGAAAGCGGAAGGACTCAGGACGGAGGAGGAGTTCATCTATGGGATCAGCTCCCCCGATAGATGAGGATGAAGAGGATGAAGAGGTGGATGAAGATTCTTGTAGCCAGCAGGATAAAGAGGGCAATGTCACCACCACACCTACACCGGAAACGGACACAGAGGTGGACGCACAGGTAGTCGAGTCACACACACACACACTAACACACTACTTGTTATGATCTTACTAACTTCTTTCTTGTTGGCCCACAGTTTTTTGTATCAGAAGATGATCCCGACTCCACTGTAAAGAAGAACGGTAAAGACTCACCACAACGAAAGCTGCCAATCATACCCCATTCAACGCTTCACACCAGTATCAGCATCCCAGAAAATGTTGCAACAACTGCGTAAGTGTATATGCGCACACACACACACACACACACAAACGCATAGAAAGAATAAAATGCATGTATGTGTTCAAACTCACTATGTTCTGTTACCACCGCAGGGGCAGAAATTGGGTTCGTAATCTGCCCAATGGCAGACGAGTTTCTGCACCATGTTTGTTTCCAAGTTTGAGTTCTGGCCGCAGCTATGATCTGCAGGAGCGCCGCCGGACGGGCAACATGACAGGCACTTCACTAGAGCACTACCAATACATGCCTACTGACGAGAGCGAGGCACAGACGCTCGCCACCGTTGACCTGGATGGCATTAAAAGTGAGTATGTGTGTTTGTGTAAAATGTGACAAAAAATGTATTTGGCAACGTAAGACCAGTGAAGAGTTTTAACATTTATCGTACTTTCAAAAGTTTGTGGTCGGTAAGGTTTGTTTAATGTTTTTGAAAGAAGTCTCTTATTTGCTCACCAAGGTTGCATTTATTTAATACAGTAAAAACAGTAATATTGTAAAATACTATTACAATGTCAAATAACAGTTTTCTGTTTTTAATATATTTTAAAATGTAATTTATTCCTGTGGTGACAAAGCTGAATTTTCAGCAGCCATTACTCCAGTCTTCAGTGTCACATGATCCTTCAGAAATAATTTTTTTAATATGCTGATACATTCTTTTCAGTTTTTTACAAATAGTATTTTTTTTAAATGATGATGATCATTATAATTAAATAAAAATTGAATGTACATTCTAAAAAATAATATATACATAATCAATGATATATAATAATACAATCAATGATACAATGTTATCTAATATTTATTAATAATATATTTACTAATTTATCAGTTAGGTGATATACTGTATGCATATCTACACATATTGGTGCAACTTTTTGTCCCTTACTGAATGTGTTAACACTTCAATTTCAATTAATAATTTTAATTAATTGATAGTCTTTTAAATATTTTTTGTTTTAAAATTATGAATTCTGTTTAATATGTTTAACAGAGCAAATTCAGAATTTTCCAAGTACCCATAAAACCTATTTAAGTACCTCCTATGGTATAGTGCAGCAATGTATTAGTTATTAGTGAGATTGGTGGTTTTTCAGTGAGTATTGGGCATTTCAGCTGATCATAGATCATCAGTAATGTGTGTGTTTTTTTCCTTTCCAGAGGGAAAATACATACAAAGATCAGGACATACATAATTTCTCAGAGAGAGAGAAATAAATAAATAAATGAATACATACAGTGGGTACGGAAAGTATTCAGACCCCCTTAAATTTTTCACTCTTTGTTATATTGCAGCCATTTGCTAAAATCATTTAAGTTAATTTTTTTTCCTCATTAATGTACACACAGGAGGAAAAAAAATTAACTTAAATTATTTTAGCAAATGGCTGCAATATAACAAAGAGTGACAAATTTAAGGGGGTCTGAATACTTTCCGTACCCACTGTAAATGAAAATACGTGCATACACATTAATGTTACTATGGAGATTGTTATTACCATAAAATCTTGAAAACAGATTTTACATTGTTACATAATCATTATATTTTCTTTCTCTTAACAGCAAATATATATAACAGAACATGGGAAGCTATTCCTTACAACTCATACAAAAATTCAAGTTTCAATTCAAGAAAAATCTGGGCGTACCAGTTTAATATAATCTATCCATTTATTCCTAATTAGACAAAAAATCTTCCATCTGAGTTCTTAATGAAAAAGATTTTTCATTTTCCATTATATATATAATATGTATTGTATCAATCCATTCCAATAACGTGTTTTCAGTGCTGGAAAATGTGTTTGTTTTCCTGTTGTTTGTTTTATAAAGGACTCCTTTATTTACCTTTCTGTTCTCATTCTTCTGAGAATAAATCATGTTTTCAGTCTGTACATCTAATCATCTATGGCTGTGGTTCAGGAATGTGGACATTCTCAAAGACTGCAGAGCTGCCCACTACAACTGTGCCTTTGACGTCTCTTTTGTATGTGTGTGTGCTGTAAATACAGATAATTTTGACTGAACAATAGATCACTTTGAGACACAAAACTCACGTTCTAGTGAGCGCCCAGTTGAGTTTTCAGTGTGTTTCTGTGTTTGGATGCTGAGTATTGTGTGTAATGTAGCCAGTATTGTCAGGGTTAGGTAAGCTCCTGAGTTACTGATACTCACAGACCTTCTGGTGTGTTACAATGGATTCAGTGTTGTTCTGACTTGCTTGTTGTTTTTTAACTCTTGGTTTAGTATTTCAGCATCGTCTTGCTGTCTTTCTTGCAGGTCACAGGTTTGAAGATGTCCCTGGTGTGCGGCGGCACCTGGTTAAGAAAAGCGCTAAAGGTCAGGTGGTTCACATCGGCAAGGACCACAAAGAGCCCAGCAGTCGTATCCGGACCAAGTTGGATCGAACCCCACATGAGGTGAGACGCCAGCTAACTAGATTATCTTTCCCCTGTCCACTTGGAGCTATTTCCTAGGCTTGGGTGGGTGTTTGGTGTAGCTAATAAAACATGCATATTATGTCTTCAGTATCACCTTAATAACACAATTGTAAAAATAAGATTATTTCCCAAATAGCCCCACCCCAAATTCGCACGATTAGCAGAGTCGATATTGCTGTGTTTGGCTTATCAAAATGCACAAACAAAAAGAACAATGTTTTCAGGAAATCAACCTACTAAAGTTTCAGTATCAAGCAAATTGCATACTTTAGCTGTAATGCTTTCTTATACTTGATGAGACAATACAGTAAAAGATTTAGATTTAGTTTGCATGCTGTACAAACTGGGGTATCACTGCCATTGGCTCACTGAGCCTGCTGTTGTTTATTAGAGGAGATCATGGCCCTGTTACATGGACTACAGGGTTCGTCAGGCCCGACAGCTGAAGGTAGGGTGACACAGAGCTGGTATGATTGCTTTGTGGAACAGCTGAAGCTTGCGTGTGCTTTTTTACTCACCACTTGTTTGCTAATACATCTGTACCAGTGGTTTTGTGGAAGGCAGTGGATGGTCACAGTATCAGAACTGTGTAGAACTAAGCTGGTAGAACTGTACTTGTGTAGAGCTGTTCAGTTATTATAGAATGCCACTGTTTGATTTATGAGTAGAATAGGTCTGTTAACATTACTAACATTATTAAAATGTTTGTAACATTACTTAAAGAGACTTTAACATTTAATGTAAAGGATAAGAGTTTACATGCTTGTCGAATCAAGTGGCAATTATAGATTTTTTTTCCAAAAGAAATGAACACTTTTAGAAATGAAGGACACACTAAATTGACCAAAAGTGAGAGTTAAAGACATTATAATGTTACAAAAGATTTCTGTTTAAAATAAATGCTGTTCTTTTAAACTTTCTATTCATCAAAGATCTGGAAAAATATAATAGTTTTTAACTGATGTGCTTAAACTTATTTCAAAAACTTAAAAAAAATCTTATCAACCCCAAACTTTTTTGAATGGCAGTGTAGCTTATATATGGCATATTGGCATTTTTAAAGCACACAATACATTTAGGATTCACATTTGACATGTGTAATTTAAAGTCTCTTCAAGTGGTGATGTTACTCATAAATAAACAAAAACCTCTTTTCTAACAACCTATTAGAAATGTCTCGGAGAACTTCAAATGCTTAACATTAGTTTTAAGATAACTGAACAGCTCTACTGACATCATCAACTTAAACACAATAAATTAGGTTTTATTCCAACAGCTGAAATCTGCAGATATTTTTGGATGGCTTGACTGAAAGAAAAAACAAAAACTACAGGTATAATCCACAATGAAATGTAGACTAATTTGAATCTTGTCTGCTTCCTCAAATGAAGTGTTTAGCATTGCCTGCAATGATGCATGAACTCTTTTTTTTTTCTTAATTTTTTTTTCGTAAAGTTTTGAGGTGCTGTAAACTCTTTTGCCTTTTATATTTTATAAAGAATGTTTACTGAACCTAATCTGACTCAATTAACTCATAATTCCTTCTAGCATAAACAGACGGTTTTCCATCAAATGACTTGTACTGGATCTAAAAATGTACAACTTTGAAAGAAAGATCGCATAAATAATAAATGTATGTGTTCTCTCAGGTGTTTGTCGAGCTGAATGAGTTACTGATGGATAAGAACCAGGAGATGCACTGGAAGGAAACAGCTCGTTGGATAAAGTTTGAGGAGGATGTTGAGGAGGAGACGGAGCGCTGGGGCAAACCTCATGTAGCTTCACTCTCATTCCGCAGCCTGCTGGAGCTCCGCAAGACCATTTCACATGGTGAGAGAGGAATACAAATACAATGTGTGAATTGATTGCTAACTTTAGTTTAAATGACTCTGATTTCTTACACATTTAAAATGCTTTTTGGTGTGTCTGATGTATTGGTGGTCATTTTACAGGTGCAGTGTTGTTGGATCTGGACCAGAAGACGCTGCCTGGTATTGCTCATCAGGTTGTGGAGCAGATGATTATCTCAGATCAAATCAGAGCACAGGACAGAGCCAATGTGCTCCGAGCCCTGCTCCTCAAACACAGGTTAGTTTCACCACTGCACAGCTCAAAAAAGATCAATCAAGTTACTTGCCTATTAAAGAACACCTTACTCATTTGGATCATGCAGCTGAACTTCCTGCTTTGTTGTTCTTCTGTTTGTCAGTCATCCGAGTGACGGCAAGGAGCACAGCTTATTTAAACGGAACATCTCAGCAACCAGCCTTGGCTCTCTCATATCTCATTACCATAGCAGTAACCATATCGCTGCACCGGAGCCCCCTGCCACAGACCCGCTCATCGGAGGACTACGTAACTTTGAGTCACGCATTAGTGTAGACTCAGATAGGAATGAGGTGCTGTGTGCATTAAAGTCTGTGTGCGTTTTTAAGAGGCAAAGAATGGTAAAATAGACAATTAGAACTTTCCCTCTCTGTTTCCATAGAAAGACACACCCCAGTTTTTTGGTTTGCACAAGACCAAATCTAAACATGAGCTGAAGCTGCTTGAGAAGATTCCAGAGGATGCAGAAGCAACCGTTGTCCTTGTGGGTCAGTTAACTGTCCGTATTTAACTCACAACAGTCAGCACATGACACGTTACATCTGTTGAAGCCATGATGCAGATGATCTCGATTTTCACAGGTAGTGTGGATTTCCTGGACCAGCCCACCATGGCCTTTGTGAGACTGCAGGAAGCGGTTCTGTTAGAGTCAGTTCTAGAAGTGCCGATTCCAGTGCGCTTTCTTTTTGTGTTGCTCGGCCCTCCCAATGCCAACATTGACTACCACCAAATCGGCCGCTCCATATCAACACTTATGTCTGATAAAGTAGGTCTCATTGAATAAGAGATAGTGCACCCAAAATCAATATTCTGTCATATTATGATATATAGACTACCGTTCAAAGATTTGGAGTGAGTAAAATTTTTGTTTTTGGAAAAAAAAAATTGAGTAAGGAAACATTAAATTGATCAAAAGTAACAGTAAAGACATTTATAATGTTACAAAAGATTCTGTTTTAAATAAATGCTGCTGAACTTTCTATATGTCAAAGAATACTTTAAAAATTCAACACAGCAGCACTGATAATAAAAAATGTTTCTTGAGCACCAAATCAGCATATTAGAATGATTTCTGAAGGATCTTGTGACACTGAAGACTGGAGTAATGATGCTGAAAATTCAGCGTTGCATCACAGGAATAAGTTACATTTTTAAGTATATTAAAATAGAAAACAGTTATTAGAAATTGTAATAATACAGTATGTGACCCTGGACCACAAAACTGCTCGTAATTGTGACACAATTATGAAATTGAGATTTATACACCTGAATAAATAAGCTTTCCATTGATGTACGGTTTATCAGGATAGGACAATATTTGGCCGCGATAAAACTATTTGAAACTCTGGAATCTGAGGGTGCAAAAAATCGAAATATTGAGAAAATCGCCTTTAAAGTTGAAGTTGATCACCAAATGAAGTCCTTAGCAATGCATATTACTAATCAAAAACTAAGTTTTGGTATACGGTAGGAAGTTGTCAAAATATCTTCATGGAACATGATCTTTACTTAATATCCTAATGATTTTTTTGGGCATAAAAGAAAAATCTATCATTTTGACCCATACAATGTATTGTTGGCTATTGCTACAAATATACCAGTGCTACTTATGACTGGTTTTGTGGTCCAGGGTCACATACTTCACAATATTGCTGTTTATTCTTTATTGTTGATCAAATAAATGCAGTCTTGGTGAACATAAGAGACTTCTTAAAAAAAAAACAAAAAAAAAAACTTTTGAATGGTAGTGTATAAATATCTAAAAACCATTGAAACAAGATCATTTTACTGCAAGACTTTGAAAACATATCTTTATACATTTGTTTTGACGCATTACCAGAAGTATAAACAGCATTTCAAACGTCTCTTCCAGCACTTCCATGAAGTGGCGTATTTGGCAGATGAGCGGCAGGACCTGCTGACAGCAATCAACAGCTTCCTGGACTGCAGTATTGTGCTTCCTCCATCTGAGGTTGGAGGAGATGAGCTGCTGCATTCTATCGCTCGCTTCCAAAAAGAGATACTGCACAAGAGACATGAACAAGAGGTCAAACTACAGGCCAAGGAACCCAAGAGCCCCGAGGACATTGGTACAAGGCTCTCGCTCATATACAGCATACAAAAGTGAACAGACCAGTTTACTGTTTATCCAAAATAAATGTATTGAATTACCTTTTTAATTCGTTCTTAATGTTCTCAGCTCTTCATCCTCCTCTGAAACCTGAAGACGATCCTCTTCGGAGGACGGGTCGGCTGTTTGGCGGGGTTATCCGAGATGCACGGCGCCGCTACCCCAAATACATCAGTGATTTTAAAGATGCCCTAAGTCCTCAATGCATGGCCACAGTCATTTTCATTTACTTTGCTGCCCTTTCTCCTGCCATCACCTTTGGAGGACTTTTGGGTTAGTCAGAGCTCTTCTTTTTACTATATAAGCCACTGTTTTAATGATGCATCTAAAACAAGGAACTTTTGCCTAATGAAATCCGTTCTCTCCTCCCCAGGTGAAAAGACAGATGGTTTGATAGGTGTGTCCGAGCTGATTATTTCCACTGCCGTGCAGGGAATGTTGTTCTGTCTGCTTGGGGCTCAACCTCTGCTGGTGGTGGGCTTCTCTGGACCCCTTCTAGTGTTTGAAGAGTCCTTCTATTCAGTTAGTATTTCTGATAAATGAATACAAATACTACGATTCACTAAGAAACTAAAATTGTGCCTGCTAGTAGTGTAGTTTATTTCATTTACAAAATGCATGCAAATAGCGCTGATTTTTGAGAATAAAGCACATTCTATATTGAGCATAATTTGAATATAAAGGCGTCTTTGAACTGAAAATCACAGTATATAATAAATTCAAATAGTTTTCTGTGCTACTGCAATGCATTTAGAACCTGGGTTTGTGAAGAAGACTGAAGTTTGACTGGAATAATATAGCAGGAAAACTGAATATGAATCAATGTGTTTGCAGTTCTGTAAGTCCAGTGAAATCGAGTATCTGACAGGACGTTTGTGGATTGGAATCTGGTTGATCATCATTGTAGTTCTCACGGTGGCCTTTGAAGGGAGCTTCCTGGTGCGATTTGTGTCACGCTTCACCCAAGAGATCTTCTCCTTCCTTATCTCTCTCATCTTCATCTACGAGACCTTCTTCAAGCTGGGCAAAGTATTGAGATGTTTTTGTTGTTTATGCTACTGTTCAAAAATGTTGATATTTATGTTCACTAAGGCTGCATTTAGTTGATCAAACATACAGTAAAACAGTAGTGGTGTGAAAAACATTCAAATATGCTGCTCTGGTGCTCAAGAATCATTTTATTATTATCAATGCTGAGAATGTTTTGGAGAATGTCAGTTTAATGCATCTTTGCTGAATAAAAGTATTAATTAATTAAATAAAAAAATCTTAATCACCCCAAATTTTAATTAGTGGTGTATGTTTATGAAAGATTTAAATGTGATCAGCATATATTCAGACAGTCTTGTGTACTGTGCAGATCTTCATGGATCATCCACTCAGAAGCTGCAGTGGGCGAGAAGAAAATGACACTGCTTTACCAACACCCACAAGTGACGGCAGGTCTCCAGATGCCTCTCAAACCCTAAACCAGCCAAACACAGCTCTCCTCTCCCTGGTGCTCACGGCCGGCACCTTCTTCATTGCCTTCTATCTGCGAAAATTCAAGAACAGCGCTTTTTTCCCTGGCACGGTAAGCCAGTGTCCCAGTTTTGTGCCATTTACGCAATGATGTCTAGATAAACATATAGGACAAGTTTTTAATGACAGTGTCAAATATCTTTGTGTGATAAAGTGGCATTGACCATAGTGATAATGTCTCTTATCTTTTGCTCAGCTCCGAAGGGCTATTGGAGATTTTGGAGTTCCTATTGCAATCTCCATCATGGTTCTGTTGGACTACAGCATTAAGGACACTTACACACAGGTGAGACATGAAGACGTGTTTATATAATTTGATTCATGTATAATCTATAATTTATGAACTGGTTTTCTCTTAGCATTTTCCACTCAAACACCCAAATTCATTGTACATCAAGCTAAATTTTAAATGACACATTTCAAAATTACATAAGTCTAACTGTTTTAGACATGTGACATTTCTGAAGTACTTTAGAGGAAATTATAGGAACTGAAAATGGAAAAAATGCATAAAAAAGTAAATAATTAAAACAAAAAAGAAAACAAACACAAATTAAAAGGATAGTTCACACAAAAATGGAACTTCTGTCATTTACTCACCCACAAGTTGTTCCAAACCTGTTTGACTTTTTCTTCTGTTGAGCACAAGAGAAGATATTTTGAAGAATGCTGGTAACCAAACAATTGATGGTAGACATTGACTTTTATAGTATGGAAAAAAATACTATGAAAGTCAAAGGCTACCGTCAGGTTACCTACATTCTTCAAAATATCTTCTTTAGTGTTCAAGTGGAGGGTGAACAAATGATGACAGAATTTTCATTTTTGGTGAACTATCCCTTTAAGTCCAAATATTTATAAAAGTCGTTTTTTTTCTCTGTTATTTCCTACATGTACATTCCAACATTTTGAAAAGTGAATTCAAGATATTTGAATACTTTTTAAGGATTCACTCCATTTTTTAAAAAAAGTATCATCTCAGTACTTTTTTGTAAAAGGGTGGTCACATTTACTGTTGTTCCGTTAACGTTTGTAGACGGTATCCAGTCATTTCAATAAGAATCCACATAACTGTGTATTTTGTGTGAGGGTGAAAGATTTCCCCACACAGATTTCACATGTTGATTCACTCTGCTGACCAGCAAAAAGAAACTTGGTTTGAAAGTGACTTCTTTGCTTCAATAGACAATGGACCTTTTTTGCCTGTGATATTTGTCTAATGTGACCATACCTTAACCGTTGTAAGTTACCCTAAGCTTATTCACTGATTAAAGACTGGAAAATATTTGTATGTCTTTATAGCAAATGACTCCATATCCCCAGAAGTCACCTGACACATGACTCCCACAATTTGTGATCTTTAAACTTCTTTCCTCCCCATATAGAAACTAAGTGTGCCTGATGGCTTCTCTGTGACCAGCCCTGACAAGCGTGGTTGGTTAATACACCCACTGGGCTCTGATGGCCAGTTCCCCATTTGGATGATGGTTGCCAGCATTCTACCTGCCCTGCTCGTCTACATCCTCATTTTCATGGAGACTCAAATCACCACGTGAGTCACAGGCATTCACTAACTTGTTCTGACCATACCTATAACTTCCATTATATTATTCCTGGATTTATAGTGATTCAGTTTTCCTTTACAGGCTTATTGTGAGCAAGAAGGACAGGATGCTGGTTAAGGGTTCAGGGTTTCACTTGGACCTGCTGATCATCGTGGTTGCGGGAGGTGTTTCAGCGTTGTTTGGGCTGCCGTGGTTGACCGGTGCTACAGTTCGTTCTGTAACTCATGCAAATAGCCTCACAGTGATGAGCAAAGCTGTTGCACCTGGTGACAAACCACGCATTCAGGAAGTGAAAGAGCAGAGAGTAACAGGATTTCTGGTGGCTCTTCTAGTAGGCGAGTGGCTTAATTTTATCTACAGTAGGCCTATATCTGCACCACAGTGTTTAGCAGCCGATATAGTTTATTGTTATCAGACAATATTGGAAATATATAAACTGATATTAGATTTTTATTTGTATGTACCTATTTCTCCCATTTCTCCATTACCTTGCCATTATCTAATGCTCACATTTTAATACTTTAATAACAAAAATAATACTTACTAATAATAATTTTCCTTATACTTTACAATTAGTAATACTTTATAGTAATAATAATAATTTAAATAATTGAACATGTTAAGTTTTAACTTTAGCAAATGTACAATTTTGTAATGCCTACATTTGCTTGTAATACTCATTAAAATTATAGGTTTTTAGTTTAGGTTTTTAATCAGTGTTGTCAAGTCTGCGGTTTTCCTGTGGAATTGGGCTACTTTAACACTGTTGCCGCGGGTTGAAGCAACCCCAATAAAGTGATATTTATCCCCTGCAATGCGGATTTTACCAGGGGAACCTTGCCAAAAAACATGTATTTTACCCCATGGAACTCGATTTTCACCGGGGGACCCCCTCAAAACGCAATTGGGGTAGTCTTGGGCTAGTTTTGAGTAGCAATTGGGTGGGTTTTGTTGTGAAAACCTGGCAACCCTGTTTTTAATATTTTATTTTTTATTCAAAATAGTAACCAAAATATTGGTTATTAGCCGTAACATAAAAATAATTATTGGCTTATTGGTCATTTTAATATCATTGCATCCCTAAATAAATTCTAACAAACATGTTACCCTCAGTGAATGGCTTGTTGAGTTATTAGTTATAATTTCTTTATATTTGTGACCCTGGACCACAAAACCAGTCTTAAGTCGCATGGGTATATTTGTAGCAATAGCCAAAAAAACATTGTATGGGTCAAAATTATCGATTTTTCTTTTATGCCAAAAATCATTAGGATATTAAGTAAAGATCATGTTCCATGAAGATATTTAGTAAATTTCCTACCATAAATATATGAAAACTTTGATTAGTAATATGTGTTGCTAAGAACTTAATTTGGACAACTTTAAAGGCGATTTTCTCAATATTTAGATTTTTTTTGCACCCTCAGATTCCAGATTTTCAAATAGTTGTATATCAGCCAAATATTGTCCTATCCTAACAAACCATACATCAATGGTACAGCAGCTTATATACAGCTCATTTATTTCGCTTTCAGATGATGTACAAATCTCAGTTTTGAAAAATTGACACTTATGACTGGTTTTGTGGTCCAGGGTCACATTTGTTGTTTTGAACTGACAGTAGATCAACTCTCTTTCCTCCAAAGGTCTGTCCATTGTGATTGGAGATGTTTTGCGGCAGGTTCCTATCGCTGTGTTGTTTGGTATATTCCTCTATATGGGAGTGATGTCTCTCAATGGGATCCAGCTAACAGAACGCATGATGCTGCTATTTATGCCACCGAAGTACCATCCTGACCACACCTATGTCCGCAAGGTTTGTCATTGAGAACTCAGCCAAGCACAATATTCACCAGTCTTAAATCAATAATCAGATGACAGTATGCCTGGAACTCCATTCTCAAATTGTCTCTTCAGATTTAGCTGTGCTTTAACCCTTGACTTGTCTATTTCAGGTGCGTACTCTACGCATGCACCTGTTCACATGTTTGCAGCTGGTGTGCCTGGCTGTGCTGTGGGCTGTAATGTCAACCTCGGCCTCGTTAGCCTTCCCGTTTGTTCTTGTCCTCACTGTGCCATTCAGAAGGTTCCTGCTGTCCCGAATATTTACTCACCGTGAGATACAATGTGTGAGTGTTTCCTTTCTTTTTGTTGATAGGAAAAATTATATTTGTAGATGTATTTTTTTACCTGTTTAGTTATATCTTATGCAGTTGTGTAAATTTATAGTGAGATTAAAGATTAAAATACAGTTGAGGTCAAAAGTTTACATCCCCCTTTCAGAATCTGCAAAATGTTAATTATTTGACCAAAATAAGAGGGATCATACAAAATGCATGTTATTGTTTATTTAGTACTGATGCTCCAGAAAGAAAAACTTAAAATTAAGAGCCGGGGGGTGAAAACTTTTTGAATTTGAAGAGCAGGGTAAATTTAACTTATTTTGTCTTCTGAGTAATGCATGGTTTTTCCTTCTGGAGCATCAGTGAGCATTTGAACCTTCTGTAATAGTTGCATTTGAGTCCCTCAGTTGTCCTCAGTGCGAAAAGATGGATCTCAGAATCATACAGTCATTGTTGGAAAGGATTCAAATACACAAAAATGCTGGAAAACCAAAGAATTTGTGGGACCTGAAGGATTTTTCTGAAGAACAGCGGGCAGTTTAACTGTTCAGGACAATCAAGGGACTCATGAACAACTATCACTAAACAAAAAAAAACAAAAAACAAAAAACAGCTGTGGATCATTCAGGTAACAACACAGTATTAAGAATGAGTCATTGAATGGAGTCATTTTTATAAATTCAACTATTATTTTCTATTGTGGACTATATGTAAACATTTGTTATGTGAAATATCTTGTTCAGGTCAGTACTAAATAAACAATAACATGCATTTTGTATGATCCCTCTTATTTTGGTAAAATAATTAACATTTTGCTAATTCTGAAAAGGGGGACGTAAATTTTTGACCGCAACTGTATATTTATAACTGTATATTTAAATTTATATTATGGCTATATAGTTTGAAAAATAATGGGGGAAAAAAGTTTTGCACTGTACAGTAGCCTCTTGTTTTCAGGACTAATATTAAATCTTATTTTGCTGATTGCCTTTAATGTTGTTCGTTTTGTCTATGTGACAGCTTGACGCAGATGATGCAGAGCCGTCTTCAGATGACAAAGAAGGCCAAGACGAATATACAGAGATGCAAATGCCGGTATGACCTCATTCCTCACCTGTCACTACCTGGGCTGGCCTGACTTTCTTTTCAGTCAGAGATGTCCAGATGTACTGCCTGGTTTTTTTTTTTCATTAATCAGTTTTTATCTCCATTTTGTTTCCCCCATTTTGTTTTTGCTTAAATTATGTAGACATTATATTTATACATATGTACAAGTATTAAGAGGTTACTCAATGTCACCTGAGCAACTATGTATCTGTTGCGTGAAGAAATCTTTGTCACCTGTACTATTAATATATATTTTTTCTGTTTATTTATCAGAGTTGAAATGTTGTCGTACTATGTGTGTGTTTTGGAGGGTTAAATGAATTTATGATATCCAGTCAGCTCAAAATGACACAGGAAGCACTTTAAGGTACATTTGAAATGAAGCCTTTTCTACTGCTTATCAGTTCGTTTTATTTCATTGCAAGGTGACATACAATGTACTCCTAAAAATGAACAACTGTACAGAATGACATTAATGCAAATTATATATGGTTAATATTTTTGTAGCTAAACAGAAATAATACACAGATTTATGCTGTATTCAACTCAAAAAAGATATATCTATAAATATTGCCTATAGCAACAAAAAACTGGTTGCAGTCACCAGTTTATTTGGAAGAAAACATATATGTTGATCTATGAATATGGTCTTTTGAAATTTGTTGCATAGCTGTTTTGAAACTATTTTTCTCACCAGAGCACCTAAGAGGCCTGTGTGTTTATATAACATGAACACTAAGAGAATCATAGAAGTAGTCTTAATAGTTACAATAATACATAAATATACAGAGTCATTCGATTATAGTGGATTTCATTCACCTAGTTTGTCTGAGAGAAAATGAAAGAGAGAAAAGTCATTTTAAAATATTTTATGGAGTTCAAAAGGTGAAGTTTTACACAATCTCTGTTATGATGAATAATGTTATGATTAAAATATCACAGAGCACACGAAATGGATTGATCGTTTAATGCACTACCGTTTATTTTTATTAACAAGCTTCATAGGTGAATATTTGTCTTTTAAGGGAACATAACTAGAATCTATAAAATGTGTTAAAGCAAAAAAATACCAAACAAATGTCTCATGTACATTCCAATCAAAAAGATGATCTTGCAGACAATTCTTTTTATAAAGAAGGGACTACATCTAAGATGTTATTTAATCTGTTGTGTGTGCGTAATGTCAAAATGTGTATTTTCCCCTGCAAAAACTGACAGTTAATTTTACTGTTTTCATTACGATCTCACATATTGTAGTAGTGCCTGTTTTCAGATATTATGTTGCTTCACAAAGTTGAAAAAAAGTGACCTTAGCAAGTGAAGATAGCAAGTATGAAAGAAAAAGAGCTGTTCAACAATAGATTTTTGTGATTATTAAAATATTACTGTAGAATGTCAATGATGGTCTTTGTTTTAGCTTTGTAAATGTTTAGAGTACAGGCCCAAACCTAATAAAATAATGGAACTGATTTAACACTAGACCTTTTGTTTTTATTTATTACAATCATAATTTTACACATATAAATCAAATTAATAATGAAATTGTGCTGGTGTTATCTTACTGACGTGCTATAATGTTTTGTCATATTGACTTGTATTGTTAGATGAGTATCATTAGATGGTAATGCCACTACAATATTTTCCCAAGTTATTCTCAGTTTATAAAAACTACCAGATATATCAGTCTCCGGTGGATATATTTTACTTTTCAGAGTAGATATTCTCCACGTATCCTCCATCTAGTGCACTAAGTATTTATGTTCTCTGTACTATGATGGCATATTTTACAAGGACAGGACAAACTGACAAAACACCATGTGCTATGAAGTGAAAAAGATTATAATCCATATGCAGTGGTGGCAGTGATCTACAATAATGAAGGCCCGGTTGCTCTGTTAATGCACCTATGCTGCCATTTCATGGCCATTACATAGTGGTGGGAAAAAAAGTCTGTAGGCATAGAAATACATACTGTACATAGAAACCAGGAGTACAAGGCCTAAACAAACTTCACTTTGACCCACGCACTTCCACAACATTAATTATTGCACATATGCCTCATTTATGGCTGTAATCTGGTCAAATACCATTTTCTGGGGAAGTAAAAAAATTCAGTTAAAAGGATTGTTCATCCAAAAATAAAAATTATAATTTTATTATCATCATTTAATCACCCTCAAATTGTTCCAAGCCTGTATGAGTTTCTTTTTCCTGTTGAGCACAAAAGAAGGTATTTTTAAGAATGTTGGTAACCACTGACCTCCATAGTATTTTTCTATGCTACATGGAAGTCAATAGCTTCTGTCAACTGCTTGGTTACCAACATTCTTCAAAATATCTTCTTTGGAAATGTATGAAACAATTGTGTCATAATGACTCAAAACTGACCTCCCACACATTTCTTTTCCATAAGCAGTGGAAAAGATTTGGCAATTAGACCTAGACAAACAGTTTACATAAACGGAATTTCAAATATTATAGTCACTTTGCATAATTTTCCTACAGGCATACATTTTTTGTTTAATTTTAGCATTTAGTTTTAAACCATTAAGACTGACTCAGGACAGTTACAAGAAACAAGTAACAAAATACACCTAACGAAAAGAACTGACCCAAAAGAACAATTCACTCTCAAATCATTAATCACTATAAATCAAGCAAGTTTTATTTTAAATAAGAACATTGTCTAGCTGGTGAAATATTTAGAAGCTCAACATGACAATAAATGTATATTGTGTACCTTGTAAAATGTGTAACTTGATTGCCATTTGACTTGGTTTTTCCAGGTTTTCCTTGACCAGAATCTTGAGAGAAATGATCACACACACCACTAATGCTCACTATTCATGAAACATCCAGCTCAATATATATCACAAAATGCTGCCTAAATAAATGCTCATCAATGGTACACTTCCAGTGATCTGTATGAAGCATCTCTCTCAGGCCTGGTCAATCTGAGGGGGTTGAGTCAGTCACCGCTGCCTCCTCCTTTCCTCCTGCCATTGGTCAGTTTCACATAAAGAAATCTCGTGACGATTGTGTACAATCAGAGAGCGTGAGGGCGAGATACAGTCAATGGCACTTTTACTCAGGCTGAGAGGAAACGGTGCCTCTCTAACTGTGATCTTTACGCTCAGTTCAAGCCATGGGAACTTTAAGCACAAGCAGCCGTCAACCTACATCGTCTCCGCCAACACATCAGTTTAACGTCAAATGGAGATAAACTCGACACCAATTAGAACCGAGTGTTTTTGGGCTGCAGAGCCAAGGTTTTTGGAGCGCGGAGGCTGTGTGAGTCTCAGCGGCAGCAGAATGAACGTGGGCACCCAAACTAATCGGTTTAGCACTTAAAAGTCCTTGCAGGGTTGGCAAAGAGTCCTGCTCTTTTGCATGGGAACCAGTAGATATTTTTGCCCTGGTAAATGCTCAGTCATAAAAGAGAACTCTCTAGCAATTGTATACTAATATTAAAGTAGTTTATTATTGTTAGATGCATGCACGGTAATTTGCTACTTCGGTTTAGGTGAGTTTAAGGCTCGAGAAAGTAGCGCTTTAAAATGTTGCAAAATTAATAAACATTTCATCAATATCATTCAGAAATGTATCAAAATGTTAAAAATAAATATTATTTTTAAGTTTTAGCCTCCGCCTTTTTTTCTCGCATGTTTTCCCTCGGAGTTCCTCCCCCTGCGGCGCTGGGCGGAGTTTCATACCGAACCAGACGCTCCTTTTGTCGGATTCGTTTCAACCTGACTCCCCGGGGTTTACGGCTAAAAAACAGATACTTAAATACAATAAAAGCATTTAACACGAACACGTCGCTAGTTAATAAACACGTCCGTGACGGATTATTGAAAAAGGTAAGTGATTTGATGATTTTTGAGCCCGTTTAGAGCGTTTTTCAATTTGCTCGTCCCCGAGTCTTTGTAACATTCATGGCGGCTCTGCAGTGAGGGCTCTGGGGCGAGGGAAGGCACAAGCGGCCGCTCCTAGCTCTGTTTGGGATTCTGATTGACCAAAACATAGTATTATTATACTAAGACTGAATATGTGACCAGGATTAAACATTTAAGCATTTATGTTGACGACAGAATTTATTTTATAGCGAAATAATGCGTTTTTTGATACTGCCACAATCCCTGCAAAAAATCAAAATGTGAATGCATCCACACTTGAATTGTCGGCAAGGAGGTATTTGATACGTAAATATCAAGACATCACTTCACAAATTTAATCGGCGTAAGCGACGTTCCTCGTACTTTCGCCAGTAGCTTGCTCGCTAGCCGAGGCGTTCGGGCCAGCGGAAGCTGCGTGGTGACTCCTGCCGGAATAAAGACGCCATTACCGGGCTTGGAAACAGACTAACGGTCGGTGCGCTACAAGAAACGTATTTTACACGAATGTATTTAATCGGTTAGAGTGGCCTTCACACGAATTATTAAAGCAAATATGCGGAGACTTGTTAATGACATTAATAAAGCACAATGCATTTTTGGACAGTTTACTTTATGCCATACTTTCTGTCAGAAGTGATTAACTTCTGTCCAATACCTCTTGAACATAAAACGGCCAATAATGGCTTATTGTTACCAGTGAGTCTAAAATATAGCAGAAAAGGAGATTTTCCGTGTTTTTAGCTCCTTTGGCACGGTTGACCTTGCGCGCGGGCGGGGATGACACTGTAACCGGGAAACCGGCGCCTCGTGCGGGCGCGTAGAGACGCCGCAGCTCGAGAAGGACGCGGGTGACACTTCACTGACACTTCCCGGTGATGTTGCGCGCTAAATGACATGACACACCACAACATACAATACAGTACATATTGTGATGCTGGCAAAGTATAAAAGTATACACACGACTCTTTGCTTAACATTGCTTAGAATTTGCTCGTATTTATTAAATGTGAAATATACACAAATTACATGAGATGTTATCAGTTATATAATTTATACAGTTTTATAGTTATAAAATCAGTTGATTCTTTAAAAAGCAAACAGTATGTGTTATAGTGTCATACGAATAAAAAATAAAAATGTATGTAATATTTTTATGCATATAATGAAGTAAAGTTACTCGCCTATGAATGTGTCGTAGCCTACTGGCAGCATGTAAATAGAGAGCGCTCGCGGAGAACGGGAGGAGAAACCGAGGCTTCCGGGACACTGATGCATTTTAGCGAGGGTCGTGCTCGTCCTCACATCTCGCTGCTCGTGGTTATCCCAAAGGAAAGACTTTCCTGCCATTCCTTGCCAAGATGACCCCCGACACCGTGTACGTGCGTTTCTCTCGCATCCTCAAATCGTGGCATGAAGCCCGGATAGTTGTCGGTCCTTTCCTCGATGCTTTGCTTAGCTGATCGCTACAGGTGAACCTAGACGACATTCGCGGTTTGATCATGGATAGGCGTTGGAAATGTGCGGTTATGGCATCATTGTCATGGTTTCTCACTGTTCGCCGCCGGCGCTGGTGCCAGTATGTCCGAGTCGAGGTGGTCCAGAGGCGGAGCATGGGCACGTGTTCCTCTGGGTGGCACTGATGACATCCAGAACATTGATTAATCACATCACAATTAGACGACCATTCACAAAATTGAGCCACTCGTTTGTTAAGGAGATTTTATGTCACTAAATCCACCTGTGTTATGGCAATACATTTATTCCTTAAAACTAACTAGCATCTGTTTATTAATTGTGTTAGGCTACTTTTATGGTTTTTTTTTGTACTTTTTAAAAGCTTCATTAAGTAATACAGTGGTAACTAATATCTTTTTCAATTTCAGTAGAACCTGTTTTTTTTTAGATACTAGTATTTCTATGATAAGTAACTAGTATCTGTACAATTAGTCAGTAGTGCTTTTAATTACATTCTTGTACTTATTCCTTTGCTAATAGCCACTCAATATGACAAATATGTATTCCATTGTTACTGGTAACAAATTAAACATTTTTTTATAAAAATCTATCAGGATATCAACTATTCTCTTCCAGCTAGCATGTATTTCAGTTGTTGACTGTGCCTATTCCAATTTACTAGTAACTATTAACAGGGTTGGGAGGGTTACTTTTAAAATGTATTCCGTTACAGTTACAAATTACTTAATTAAAAAAGTATTCAGTAACGTAATCCAAGTAGGCTACCACATTATAAAAGTAATGTAATCTGATTACTTTTGGATTACTTCAAGTTACATATGTAAATTAGTCGTAAGTAATAGTTAAGCCTGCATTTCAGCCCCGGCCCGACTTTTTTTACGGGCCGGGTTTAGACGCGAGCCGGGCCTCGGCCCTGTTTTAGGCTTCTCCTTATTTTTATATTTTAGACATCCATAAATTAGTGACGAAAAAAAAAATGCTCTGGTGAAAGCAACAGGAGACCGTGCTACTGCGACTGTCAAGAGCGGCTCGACGGTGTTTAGGGTGTACTCACACTTTGCGCTGCTTGCCTTGAACCGAGCGCGATTATCCCCCCTCCCCCCTCCCCCGCTGGCCTGCACTCACACTTGCACTAAACATTCCGGGCCGGAGCATGCTTAAGTTCAGTGTTGGGGAGTAACTAGTTACATGTAACGGCGTTACGTAATTTAATTACAAAATAAATGTAACTGTAATCAGTTACAATTACTAATAAAAAATGTGTAATTAAATTACAGTTACTTATGAAAATGTTAACCACTACTATTACATTTTAAATAGGGTAACTTGTAATCTGTAACCTATTACAATTCCAAAGTAACCTTCCCAACACTGCTTAAGTTATGTCATGTATGAGATGACGGAGAAAACCACTTTCGCTAATATTCTGCCGAATAACTAATAATAATTAAATTATAATTTATGCCGTGCATTGATTTTCACTTGTATGTATCAGAAAATTATTAAGGAGGCAGCTGAGTTAATGAAATAATTTGCAGCTTTACTCGCAAACTACATTTCCTGTTCATCAATAAGGTAAGAACCAGAGCCATTATAAACCTAAATATACTTGATTAAATTAAATTAATTGAAAAGTGTAGTGTAGTAGTAGTAATAGAATATGTTTGCGGTCGTAATGATGACAGTAGCACACACAAAATAGTATCTGTTCCGTACTCCGGTGCTGTTAGCGCTCACACTGCATGCGTACCGCGCCCGAGCCCAACCGAACCGTGCCCTGGCCCACCTCTTCCAACTGGGCCAGGGCCGACTAAATGAACCACGCCCCAGCCCGCGGCACGGAGCGCTCACACTGATCAAACGAACCGGGCTTTAGGGGTCAAACGCGCTCGGGCACGGTTCAAAACGCCTAGTGTGAGTACACCAGTGTCCAGCAGCAGCAGCAGCAGAGCGTGCAGTCAGCGCAGCTGAAGAGATCTGCACGCAATAGGCTAAAGCTTCCCGCAAAGGCCCAGCAAAAGTAATTACCATGAATGTGCCAGGGGAAAATAGTAAGGAGATATTTGAATTATTTACTAATAAACTAGTGTTTTCTGAGTTCTGTTGCAAGGATGAAGTTGCCGATTCTGACTCGCCATCTCATTAGACACGCCTTTAGAGAAAAGTGCATCTTTACAGATTATGATTATAATGAAAGAGTTTTTGTTTTCGATTTGTTTTATTTCGTTAAGTAGTAATTTAAAGTTTTCTATAGATATATTTATCATGTCTGTGAGGCATGTAGCCTATTCGCTGAGTTTCGGTTCATTTTTGTTTAGCGCTCCTGTTCAAGACGAGACGGCAGAAAGCGCATCATGTTTGTTTTCTTTATTTTATAAAAGCACAACGTTTTGTTGATATTGTGAGTGCACACAAATAAAAGTAGACCCTTTACAGTTCCGAATGATGTATTACTCTTACCTTTATGAGTAAAAATGACGGCGTATCCACTGGAAAAATGCAAGTGATTTTGCTGGCGCCTCCATGTCCTGCAAAGCACGCTTTAGCTTGCACTCTCTGCTCAAACTATTGGATACAGCGCACATTTATCTGGGTTTAACGTTTAAACATTGTTATATGCTTGAACTGTTTTATATCTCTAGATTTTATTTTAGGCAAGTCATGATGATTTGAGAAGGCTAAATTGATCAAACATAGGCTCACTGTCTGCCGCTGGCCGCTTGGTCGTTACTTTAAAAAACAAAAACTAGTAACGAACAAAAAAATGCTCCAAACGTTTTTCTAAATTAACTTAATAAAAAAACTAAACGAAATATAATCAATTTGCCATTACATACAAAACTGAACTATTTTAATAGCTGAAACAGTAGTATAAGCTGTTTTGGGAGAAGGGGAAAAAAAGACGGGCTCGGGCGGTAATTCTGATAAGCTGTCGGACAAGGGCCGGGATAGGGCCAATATTTGAGGCCCGTACAGGGCTCTACCAGGAACTATGATGAAGCAGCGCTAAATATATAGCATTATGTCAAAATACTCATTTATTTAAATTAAACAAATGTAATCCTGGTAGTATTCCCACATTTTACAAAATGTAACTGTAATCTGAATACTTTTTTTTTTATGTAACTAACAGATTACAGTTACAAGATTTTTGTATCCTGATTACGTAACGCCGTTACATGTATTCCGTTACTCCCCAACCCTGACTATTAATTTGGTTGTAATGCTGCTTATTCTTTAATTACTTGTAACAATTCAAATAGTTATCAGTATCTCGAGTATGATTTTTAATTAAACATTTTCCTCATTATTTATTACACATGACAAGTCAAAAAACAATTGTTACTATCAAGATTGTGTTCTATTAGTAACAGTTAAAGGAATATGTACTAATATCTCATAAATATGTAATAATATATAATAAATAACTATTATTAGACATTGGCATAGTGACTAGTAGCAAATGAATAAGCTCTAGTATCTAATGAATGTCACTGTTTGAGATACTAGTAATTAAAAAAGTGCTTGTAACTGAAGTAGATATTAGTTTAAATGGATGAATGTTGAAAAGGTTTGCCATATTCAGCCAGTAGCCCATATTTACAGCCTCACTTTGAATTGTCTTGTTTTCTCTATGTAGCCACTTGGCCAGGGAAGTGTCAAGGTGGAACTTGGTGAATTCTGTCATCATGAATGGCAGCACCAGGGTGTCTGGCACCCAGACAGGACGACTCAAAATTGAGTCAGGTACGCTTGCATGTTGTCCATTATGGGTGTATTCACACAGACACATTGCAGTTATATTCAGCATAAACACAACCTCTGGTTTTAGCCATTCAGCATGCTAAATGCGTCGATGTGCACTGTTTTTGTTAGTTGCAGATACATGGAGCAAAGAGGACTGTCTGACACTGCTGGAGAGGATACGCAGTCTGCTACCTGATGGAGACACTATGAAGTATAAAACCACAGAGTCTCATTTTGACTGGGAGAAGGTGGGGCTTGGGGGTTTCACTGGAGACATGTGTAAGCAGAAATGGCAGAAAGTGTCCACCGAGGTGAGCCAAATTCCAGTGAGCTAAAGCAATAATGTGCCTGTTTTCCAAATAACTGTAATAAGTGTTTATGTTAAAGACACTTTCTTTAGATTGTCCATGTAAAGATTATTTTACTTTAAGCTTTGCTAGCTTAATAATAAACAGAACGTTACAATTATTATTTGCCTTCATTCATTGGAGTCGTGTAATGATTTTCCCACCCTAGGTGCGTAAATACAGAACGATGACAGAGCTCATTGTTGATGCTACTGAGTATGTGAAGAACCCTTACAAGGGGAAAAAATTAAAGGTGAGATTGCTAAGATATAAGAAGTTTTCAATATTTAACATTCTCTTTTTTTTCTTAATATGTTGTTTTAGCCTGATGTATTATGTCAGATAAAAGTTTATTTTTAGTGTTTATGTGTTTACCTCTGTTTTAGACACATCCAGACTTCCCAAAGAAACCCCTCACTCCCTATTTTCGCTTCTTTATGGAGAAGCGAGCCAAGTATGCAAAAATCCATCCAGAGATGAGCAACTTGGATCTCACCAAGATTTTGTCCAAAAAATATAAAGAGCTTCCTGAAAAGAAAAAGGTTAGTATTTCTGGGTAGTTGACATGAAACTCTTTTGGGAAGTTTTACTTGTCCTTCAGTGTGTGACATGTATACTTTAAACTTTAAGATTGTATTTTGCTTGCTTGTTTCTAATATGAATGCAGTTCAGTGTTGTTGTTGGAGTTTAGTTAACTAAAACTATTAAAAACATTTTTGATAATTGAAATAAACTAAAATCACATTAGACAAATAACTTAAAGGCACAATATGTAATTTTCGCCGCTGGAGGGCGCGTATTCAAAATAAACAAAGAGGCAAAGGCGTAGTTTGATGACGCCGGGATTGAGTGTGGAATCATGGGAGTTGTGGTCTTCATCCCCACAGCCGATGCAATCCGACGGGACTCGGGCAGAAATCATGTTCATGGATGAGCTAATGACTTATTAACGTAGTAGAATGAAGCAGGGTGAGGCTGGAAGCCGTCGAAGCGAAACGAGGCCGCTGAACGAGTGCGACACACTGTTATGCCACAGTCGAGCGCTTCCGCTTCTTCCGGTCGTGCGTATGTGGGGGAAAAAGCAGCGCTGTTTTATCATACTAGATACGGTTGAAAGTTCTGTTATAATGCTACTCTGTGCAGTCGTCACCGGTCTATTAAAACGCGCAACATATTTAGGCCCCGATCACACAGAACGCGTTTTTTGCAGTGAGAGGCGCCTTTTTTGAATTGTTTTCGGTTGGCAGTGAGCGTTCTGCGCGCTGTTTATGCGCCCTGTGCGCCTCGCGTTTTTGCAGGAGCGCTCTGAGCTAGAGGTCTTCACGGGTCCACTTGGATCCGAAAACCCGAGGTCCGACCCGAGACCCGAGCGGGTTCGGGTTCAAAAGTTCTACTAGTGCCTCGGACACGGGTCGAGTTCGGTATTAGCGGCCTCGGGTCTCGGGTAATTTAAAATAAATGTGCTTTTTATCACGTTTATTTTTCAAATCCACTGGTCACAACTGAAAGCCGAACTCAGAAATAACTTGTATCCATCAGGCAGGCAATAATATAAAGTAATAACCAAATTAAATACATGTTAAATAAATTAAAGTAATGGAGAAGCGGCCAAATCAGTCAGCAGGACGCCGGGATTTTCCTGACTGGCTGCATGGCTGCAGGCTGTGCACACGTCAATGCCGTTTACGTTCAGGTCCCGTCGGGTTAGAAAAGAAATGCCCTCGGGTCGGGTACAGATTCCAGGGCCCGGTGACGTGTAAACTCTGCTGATCACGGATTGGCCGGAGAGAATCGTCACTACCTGCGTCACTGAACTTGCGACACAAACACTAGGGATGGGCGATACCCCTTATTTTGTTTTCGATACGATACCGATATTTTTCAAGGCAGTATCATCGATATCGATACCGATTCGATACATCTGAACTAAACTTTTAAATTATGAAATTTATTAAATTATTAAATTACTAAGAGTAAAATGGGTAATGATAAGCACTTAACGTTGTTTAAAACGCATTTTAACATTCAATACGCCGTAATTGTAACTTATTAGGTTATATTTTTGTTTACACATGGTTCAGATATGTTTTTTGTTTACACATGATTCAAATCTATAAATACTACAGTTGAACTATGGTCACTTTAA